CCCCAAAACCCCAAAACCCCAAAACCCCAAAACCCCAAAACAGTTTAAAGAATTTGAAAACTACTAAATAAAATTATAATTTAGGAACAACCAAGAAAATGGATGTAAGCTTTTAAGGTTTTAGGTTTTAGAATTTACCAAGAATTACGAATTCACAGTTGTTGAAGAAGTGGAATTTGGGGGTGGAGGAACGGGATTTGAGGCTGGTTGGTGGTAAAAAGAGAAGAATTACAGAGAGTTTGAGGTAAGAATTTCTATTATCATACTTTAAGAACACCACAGGTAAAATCCAATAATAGAAGAGGAATCATAAGCTGTTTTAGTCCGAAATAGATCCTAAGAAGCACCATTCACGCTTGAATTCAATCCAGGTAAGATTAATTTGATCAATTTTAGGACACTCCTGTTGAATTTAACACAACACATTATGCAGAAAGGTAAGCTATTGCCACTTACAAATATGAAATTCCTTAACACCTTTATTAGCACAAATCAGGCTTATAATGATGCTCAGGAGTCAGAGTTAGCCAAAGTCAGTCGGAGCCTAGCCATGTAAACTCCCTTCTGACTCTATAGGAGAAGTAAAGAAAGAGCGAGGAAGAACAAATAAGTCAATGTCTAGAGGCTCAATCTACAACTATCGCCGTTATGAGGAACAAAAGCAGCTTCAGATAGAGAACATTGTAAGAATTGTTAAATAATCCCTCACAGAGATTGCTCAAAAGACTGCAGAACTCGATCCCAACGTATAACTATGATGACTATGAAATTGAGAACAGGAAGAAGAAAAACTTGTTGAACCGGATCTGCACGTTCCCGTATCAGTTTGATAGGCAATTTCATAAAAGGACTCAGTCCAAGTTAAATATTAGAAGGAATATGAGCATTCAGAAGATACATAAGAAGAAAAAGAGAAAACTCTCACAGGCTAATTGAGGTAAGCATCGACTAAGCCAAGTTGTAGAGCTTCAAACCATGAACCAGAGCCAAGACGTATCACATAATATTAGAATGAGTATGGAGGAGGAGAATAAAATGAGAGAAGAACAGTTTAACAAACCTCTGGCTAACGAGAGTACTGATGTCATTCAAAATGATGACGAAGACCCCAGCCCTATTGAGAACCCTAATTCTGTACATCGTTTCTTACTAATCTGTAGGTTGAGCCAAATAAAAGATATCATTCCAAGAAAGCAAAGGATAAGAAGTCTATCTTTCTCAAAACAGCTCATAAGAGAAGGATGTTCTACAGAGAACATCTCTTGACTAATGTATTCAACTCTGAATTTGACGAAATTAAAAGGGAGAAAGTAAAGTTGGAGAAATTCATGAAGATTTCGAATAAGGAATGATTCCTCACAGTCTGCACTAGCCCTACAAAATATTTCTTCATGGCGATATGCTGAAAAACCAAAAAGCCTTACTTGATCTCTGTATTTAAGAAGAAAGTCAAGAAATTGTTGCAAATTTATAATAATTCCTTGGTGAAAGTTAGCAAACTGCTCAGAATCAAGGATGGGTACCTTATTATCAAAGACCTAGATTTCCTGCTAAAAGACAGGCTGAACGTTAGAGATTCCTTGCCTGAGCATTATAAGCAGAATCTTGGCTATTCAAAAGATAGTGATAGAGAAGCCAGTCCTCATTTTGCAGCCAATGTTGGAGATAATAATGACCTTGGGCACAATATACATCAGGAAGATCTGAACAAGAGTGAAACTGTGACTGTGCAGGACATCTACAAGCTTCCCAGAGTACGATAATTATTTATAAAGTTCTAGTCAAGTTCGTATTTGTCGTTAACTAACTGTGATTTTCATAAGCCTCCGAAGAAGAAGCCAAAAAGCCGCCAAAGAAGAGTTCCTAAATTGAGTCATATTAGGTTTATGTCTCAGAAAATGAACAAATTTATGAACCAGACGGCTATATATAATTCTTAGAGGGCTCAATATGCTTCTTTAGTTTAGGGGTTTTGGGGTTTTGGGGTTTTGGGGTTTTGGGGTTTTGGGG